TGGAAAGGGATCAAGTAGGGTATTTCTTGAGTGTCCCTTAGAGAAGGCTACATAGACCATTCTGGTAATATTTGCTCATGCAATAGTTTAAAGCCATTTTCCTCTTAGTTTTGTAGGTATTGAGACTAGACATTCATAGACCATTGTTCTTTGTCAGAGCTGCAACCATAATCTTAAGACATTGAAGCCTAAAGTTTGTTAGAGTTGGCCTGAAGTCTAAATCCATCAGTGACAGAAGCATGTTAAGTCTTCAGATGCACAAACTTGTCACCCAATGTTAGGGTTCACATTTCTAGTTCAAGTCAAGCCTGAAATGAATCCACTCTTAAAGGGCCTCAGGATTTTAGTACTATGCAAACACATCCGCTCAACTTGAGTCAGATTAAACCTTAGACAGTTGTGTCAAGAAAAGTTACCATGTGAAGACAAGCACTTTTTCAATTTGACTTCTTTAAGCATATGGAGCACTAAGCCATGTTAAGGCCATACATCCTTTGACACTAAACATTTACAGCACCTCAAAAATTACTAGATTACACAGCAAATAATCTAGTCAGAGCCAGAGATTTAAGGAATGTGGCTCAAGTAAAAAGATGAAATCTACCAGAAGCCAATCACTAAACATTTCTGGCCAAGGTAAATATGGTGAAGAGCATAAATGTAGGTATAAGTCTTACACTGATAACATTAACACTTCACTGTAGCAATTTCAAGACTTGAGGTAGTAAAGTGAATCTGATCTTGTCTTCGCTCTGGTGTGAGGCTCAAGTTTAACATACATGGTGTGCATTAATGACAGGCGGTTGTCAAAAGCTTTAGCTAAGAGACTTCAGCTTGGTCCACAGATTTGTTCCGCGCACCTCAAAAGGCAGCTCATTGTAGAAGATGTGGTTGCACAGTTCTTCCAGTGGGGGCTCTGGGTCTGTGGTGGCAAACTGAGCTGCATCCTCAATCTCCTTCCTCACTTCCACATCAATTCCCTACAGAAAAGACAGTTAAACAAGGCATCTTCCAGTATATGAGGCAATTCTGCAAGACATGTGATGAAACCTGGAGGATCTCATTTTAAATGGAGTTGCAGCCCTTTCATTATCCTCACATGTAAAGCATGCCATTAATACTAGTTCAAGTGAGATCACAAATGTTAGTATGCTTAGCTAGTCAGACTTCCATTACTCGCTGCAAAGAAAAGTTCTAAACTGTCAGAAGTGTTGCTCATAAGTTTGATTTCTGCATCTCCTACCTGGAGTTCCTCCACACTAGCCATGTTGTGGCTGAGCATGTGGTCCTTTAGCATGGCGATGGGGTCACTCTTACTGCGCACTTCCCGGATCTCCTCACGTGTGCGGTAGCTAGAGAGGGGAGATGGTGCAGCAGTTGTAGGGATGCACAAGGGTTGCCAAAAAATGTTCTTTGAGCATTTAAAAGTGATTTAGATGCTCAAAGTGAAAAATTAGTGCCTTGAAATTTTCAATAAGCCATTTCTATGCAGATTAGAAACTGATAGACTTAAAAGTTATTTTCAAGCATCAAGTCTGTCAAATGGAGAAATCTAGCAGAAGATACTGAAATTCTGTAGGCAGAACTAGCCACTACAGAGGGCATACATGAGACCAAGGAGCAGAGATCAGAGCCACAGGAACGGCAAAGGACATTTGTAAGATTAAACAAGAACTTAAGTTGCTGCAACTTAAGCTGGCTCAAGTAGACGTTTACCTAAGTCCAGGATCGCTCATGCTGTGTCCATGATAGCGGTATGTCTGGAGTTCCATGAGAATAGGACCCTGAGCAAAGGACAAAGAATTTCAGCGAGACAAGTTTCATATCCTGCACATGACAATTAAGCATTTTAAACACACCTTCCCAGAGCGACAGTGATCAGCAGCAAATCTGGTTGCTTCCCGGACACAGAGAACATCCATTCCATCCACCTGTGCACAGTTACTGAGTTTTAATCTCATCTTACAAAAAACTGACAGGGTCCATATGCAAGTCCATGGTTGCACCAGACACATTTTAAATTAGTCAAACCTACAATGAGTCAGAATTGGTATACTTGTCTGTATTGCAGTCCGATAGTGAACGTCAGAATTCAACAATAGACCAGTATGTGAGAATGGGTGGATGACTGAATGTGTTAAGTGCTTTGGAGTCCTTAGGGACTAGTAAAGCACTATACAAATACAGGCCATTTACCTGACCATTTGAGGCTGCGATTTCTCCAAACAGCATTTCTCTCACTTCCAGCTAGTGTGCATTGTGTTTGAAACAGAGTTCAGGCATGCATTTGTAACTAAACAAACCCAGATTGAATAATTGGCATTTTGAATAATGAATGCAAGACTTTGCAAAATGAGAGCAACTGTCATTTTGAGCTGCACTATTCTACAAGTAATGAGAGATGTGCTGAAGCATGCCAGACCCCCTACCCTCAGACCAGGAATGAACTCTCCTCTCTTGTAGTAATCTGTGCTGGCTGCAGCTCGCTCCACTGAGGTGCCCATGGCATAGCGGTTGTTCTCACAGACAAAGATAACAGGCAGCTTCCAGAGAGCAGCCATGTTGTACGTTTCAAAGATCTGGCCCTGTTGAATATACACAAGGCTTTTTAAAGGTTGTCCTGCAAAGTTGTGAAGTTACAGCTTCAAGACTTCCTAGAGTTTAGTCATGTTGTGCATTTAGCACATATTTGACAGATACTGGCCGTGCAGAGCCAAGCGTTGCTCTTCAACACTACGTACCTGGTTGGCAGCACCATCACCATAGAGACAGACACACAGCTCATTGTTGCCCAGGTAATTGCAAGCAAGTGCAACACCAGCACCCAAAGGAACCTAGAGAAATCCCACATTGTGTGGACATTAGTGTTAAAGTCTAAATGTACAACAAGTGCCAGTTCCAAACCAATGACATCTGACATACTTAAACCATAGAAGGCAAAAAGACCAGTAACAAGACACGTAGATGACATTTACCTGAGCACCAATAATTCCATTTCCACCATAGAAGGTTTTGCAGTACATGTGCATAGAGCCACCCTTGCCCTTTGCAATTCCACCTCTTCTGCCTGTGCATGGAAAACATTAGTTGACATAACGAAAGTATTTCCATCTCAGAGTACTTATTGCCATTTGTTCCTTATTCAGTGATGCCAAAAACTTCTTAGAGCCTTAATCTCAGGGAGTAAACCACCAAGGGCAAGCCACAATTGTGCCACCTTCATCCAATTAGGGAGACTTTTCTATTGTCATCTTGTAACTGTAGTACTCCATGTACTGGGCTCTTTAGGATAATCTTTAAGTTTCTGAACCTCAATAGCTTGACTTTTGGGAAATATTAAAAACCTGTCAAGTTACTCTGGCAAGAACTGAACACTTACAACTGCCACGTTCACAGTGGAGTCGCCAAAAGGAGTCCCATGTTTACTGATCTTTAGTCTTCAACAACTCACCAGTGAGCTCAGCCATGATCTCCTTGACAGTCCCTCCCCGGGTGTAAGTGTAGCCATGGACACGATATGCTGTGATCAGGTGGTCTGACAAGTTAATTGAGGCTTCAAGACCAACAGCACAGGCTTCCTATTATGAGAAAACAACTTCACATGTCTGGACCTAAAGGGAGATTCTGAAGAGTAGCCAAAAAGTATTTTACAGTAATAGTACTGTGTTACTGCAATCAGATTGCAGTTCAAAGCCAGTTTCAGATCTTTAGCAGGTATTCAATGTATACCAGCCATGAGTTTCATTGTAGATGAAGAAAAAAACCCAACCTGGCCATCATACAAGTGACAGAATCCTCTAATCAGCTTCTGCTTGTACAGCTGATCTGCCTTCAGCTCCATACGTCTCATGACCTGCATTGTGCGGTAGTACTGCAGACCCTCATCACGAGTCAAAACCACCTGAGTGGCAGGGCCCTCATCCAGCAGGAAGAGGTCACATTTCTGGAGAAGCAAATACCCATGAGTCAAAGTGCCAAGTGCCAGTCTGTGTTCAAGACCTCACTGTCAATCTTACCTTTATTTCAAAGGTAGCCCGAGTTGTGAAATCAGTGAATGTGCGTGCTGACATAATTAGTGCAGCACCCTGTTGAAACAAATTTAAGCACTTAGTCTTTAAAAGCAATGCATGTCATATGGAGACAGCCACAGAGATGATGCTTCCAAGACATTTTTTCCTCAAGCGCTGTTCCCATTAATCACTCAAACTAAAACACTAGTGGTTCTTTCCCCAACAAGCCAAAAGAATGTCTCCTTTGTAGAACCAGGTTTGTAGTTAAGCCATGCACTGAACAGTCTTTAAGCAGACTGTCAGTTTCCAGTAGTCTCAAGCCATCATCTGAAACAAATTAAAAGTTCTTATCCAGTGCAAATAATATTTTAGCACTAAAGCTTTAATGTTTAAATAAAAACAAGAACAAAAAACAAAGATTTTAACTCAGGTCACAATAAAATAAAAACTGAGTACTTGCATTCTTCCAGGCAGTCACTCGAAATACACTTGCAATACTGGCCAACATTTCACCTACACTAACCCAAGACACAACTGTCCTTGTGGCTTAGGGCCTCTTCCCTGTCTTAAATATTGGGAGCTAAAAAACACAGCTGACGGCGATCCCTCTGATGTGCATAGCACAGAGTGAAGTGAAAGCACCGGAGGTAATCAGGGTAAAGTGACTGCACCTGCAGGAAGGAGTGGAGTTCGTTAACAGTTTACTGATTAAAGGATTGGATGCTGTTGATTTTAAAAGAATGTAGGCATACTATTGATGATCATAAAGAGCCTGATACTCTCAGGTGATCTGTGTGCCGTGATAAATGGGGTGTGTTTTATTGAGTAAAGGGTGTTAAATTATTGTGTAGAAGGTGTAAAATTGGTGTGATAAAACTTGGCCATAGCCATGTTTGGCCCACTGTGGTTGCCACATTTCATACTGTGTTGTATACTTTTTAAACAAGGAAAATTGCTGCATGAGCTTGTTAGGATCCTTGAAATCAATTTTTAAAATAAAATAAAACAAAATAAAGGATCTGTCTAACTTGGGAGCTGCTGTCATACTGACGTAACCACAGTCTCAGGCCTTGATCTGTTTCTGTTACATCCTACATGTCTTTGAAGAAATATTCTCAGTCCAGCTGAGGATGTGGTCCCTGCCAGTCATAATGGTAGTTTAAATGCCCTTTTAGGTATGACCTATACGTTTCTGCAGTATGTTCATCCACTTTGTAAAGGCATTTGTATAAATTTGTGTTACAGAATCAATCACAACCATTAGTTTCATATCTGCAATAAAACATTTCACCTATATAGCATAACAGTGCAATTATTTAATGCTTCTTTAAGCTGTTTCAGCTATTAAACTCAGTGTGTCCTTGGTCCTCCAGGTAGATGCCCGAGGTTTTTGAAATCTGGTGAGTGAGATCAGACTGCAGAGATCCTGATCCTGTAAAAAAAAAATTAGGAGAAAAAACATCACTGCACACTTTCATGAAATGAATTAAAGTTGATGAAAGGAAGAAAAACAGGTTAAATTAGAGCAGAGCTCTGGGAAGCAAAACAATACAGCATCATCAGTTTTTATTAAATGTGATCTTCAGCCATTAAATTGTGATGGAGATGGCAAATGGTAAATGGCCTGTATTTGTATAGCGCTTTTCTAGTCTCTAAGGACCCCAAAGCGCTTTACACAACCTGTCATCCACCCATTCACACACACATTCACACACTGGTGATGGCAAGTTACATTGTAGCCACAGCCACCCTGGGGAGCACTGACAGAGGCGCCCCAGGGTGCAATACCAAGCCAAGTGTGTGACCCGGGAATCTACTGAGCAGGCGATCGGTTTATAGCTTGAAACTTACACACACGATCACTGAATGCACTTCCTGCTGTGAGACAACAGTGCCAACCACCACTGTCCACATTGTCCACATTCATTTAATTTAAAAAAAAAATGTCTTTGTAGAGTTTAATAAGTTCTCTCTACTATACAGCATATGCACTTTGCACAGGCTATAAGCATTCATCTGCACAGTGAAATGGTTACATCTATGTCACTCATTTATTTTTATTTGGTTTTGATTTCCTGCCCTGTATCAAATCCATCATAGACTCTCAGCTACAAGTACCGATACACTAATAAAATATTGAAACTGATTAGCTACAGTCTACAATCTTTCCATGCATAACATGAATAATCCAGATTGAGGTTGTCATAATGAAAGGGTTAAATAGCTGTTAGTGTGCCTTGTTTTGCAGCATGTTTCACAATATAAAAAAACATAATGTCACATCTGATTTAAAAACATGAGGACTTACACGTAAGCTGTAAATAAGCCGTCCTTATCTTTGAATCTAACCTCTCTTCTTCCTCTCTTGTGCGCTTTCTTATCTTTCTCCATCTCTGAGTGAAGTTAGCTCTCTTTTTTTTCTCTTCCTGTGAAATATAGCAGCTGGACCTTTAGCTAGCAACACACTGTGACAAACTGCACACAAACAATTTGTGTGCAGTTTGCTAATGTTTGTTGGTTTCTTAAGGCTCAAATAGGTTTGACGCAATGATAAAATAATTACCCCCAAATGTGTTAAAGCAAAAGTAACAAGACTGTTTTGAAAAGGAATAGAAAGTACATATATTTATTTAAAAATGCATGGAGTAAAAATAAAAAGTAAAAACTACTCACGGAAAGTACAGTACCTGGAAATTGTAATTTAGTACACCAACAAAATATTTGTACTTTGTTACTTCCCACCTCATGTGACAACGAGGCGGAGAGAGGTGCTTCAGCCAAGATTTTCAAAACATGATGTGTCCTAAAAAACCATCAGAGTTCAGAACAGGCTGAACCTATAAGTAAAGCTGGGGATTTAACTGCAAATTAAACCATAACATATGGGCTCCATGGAGCGCCAGCCTGCTGCCTCAACATGCAGAAGCTGCCAGTGGCAGTTTGGATAGGATGTAGAAGGTAGGAGAATCCAAACAAAATATCACTGCAAACTTTAAATATGCAAGTACAAATCTAGCAGCACTTTCTGGATGAAAGCATGAGGAAAACTCTCTCTGGGTCCCTCCCATGTAGCTTTGACTGGAAGCAGCTTCTGCAGAAGTGTCTCCTGAGCAGTCCCAGTTATTATCGCCACATTCATCAGATTCACAGGATACGGTCATCCTTTCAGACAGCCCTTTTAGGAAACGTCAGAAGCTGGATGCAGAAGCTAAGCAAGTAAGAGTTAGCAGAGTTCCCCATTCTTCTAACAGTATCATTTTTGTTTGTAGCTTAAGTGCTCTGAACTGTGGTTATATCAACATGTAGAATGTTTTTTATTGTGTTTTCCAATTGTTGGAATCGATTCTCACCAGCAAACCTGGTGGAGAACGTATAATAAATGAATACAATCAAATATAAAGTCCCTGGTGGATGAAACCAGAAGAAAAATGGTCAACATACTGGTAGCTGACTTGACAGAAAAAAATGGGTAATTTATTTCTGGCCCTTTGATTTCACTATCATTTTCAAATGATTTTAAATCTCTATTAATTCCAGGGAAGCTGACTAGTCCTTTTCCTTTTGATCTTGCAGTACATCGCCACCACGACAGGTAAAAGAAATGTATGCCAGAGGAATTGTAACCTTTTTCCCTTACCTCAGTGACCCGTACTCCAAAAATGGCTATGTAAGTAGCTCACAGTAATAACTGATACAACTAAAATCGCATTTAATCATTTTAAATCCTGCCAAAATGTACGTCCTTATCAACTGTTCATTGTTACATAACTGATAAATGAATAAACAAAATGTCTGTACATGTCACTCTCCAAGGAACATTATTATGATTGCGAAAGTGGCACTGGTTACTTGGCCTGGAGGATAAAAAACCATACAGAGATGGACTGCTAAAGGGAGGCGATTATCATCTGGAGGTAACACTTATAATTCAGTGGAAATACAGTATACAGTTCCAAATTGTGGTACTGTATTAATAATGGTTATCAAATGTTGTTATTAGTTTTGATAAAGCTGTATTTCGTATTGTCTAGCACCAGGAGATGGATCATCTGGTGGCTAACCTCCACACCACATGCCCGCTGGACCGGCTAGCCGCTCCTTCCTCGCCAGACTGCTGTTACAAGCTGTTGTTTCTTGGATTAGCACATTTATAGCATATATAATGTTTGTCACAGAACAGCTATCCTTTTTGTATTTTGGGTCTACTCAAACATTTTGTCAATGCAGATGCATTGAAATGTGTTGTTGATGCTGATGATTCAACTTTATTAAAAACAAATATTTTTTGCAGGCTGGGACAGTGACCTCTCAGCAATTCTATTGCTATTACATCTGATTCCACCATCCGGTCAGGGTCAGAAGAGACCAGGAAATGTATCAGCTTCTTAAACAGAACGGCATCTTGTTGTCTTCAAGAAGGTTTGTGTTTCTTTTCTATTTTTGTGTTATGAATTACCAATTTAAGAAACACTTGATTCTTATTGCTTGTCTGTATTTGTCTTTTCATACTGGAGCAAATATCCAAGAGCACCTTGATGCCATCACTACCAGCACTCAACCCTACCTCCTGGCTGTTGGGGTGAAAAAGAATGACATCCACCGGTTCTTCATTATTCTTGACAATAATGCCATACCATGCAAGTCTACCTCTTCACTTGGTGCTTTTGATGAACTGTTTAAAGCACATTTTGTGTTTGGCACATCTTACAACACCCTGCTTCACAACATGTACACATTCATCCAAACCACAGGTTTTAGAAAACATTTAAATACCAAACATGTTAACTATTTTGACCAACAGGTTGACACTGATGTTAATCTACAGCCTGATGTGGAAGTTAAAGAAGTTAGCATTACAGGGGAGGTGATGTCAACTAATGTAGAAGAAACACCCACAACATCTGAAAAGTTGAAAAGGTCAAATAAGAGCACTTTGGATATGTGTGCCTCTGCTGTTGCACAGCTCAGGGCAGCAGGATTAAGCCAATCTACTGTGAATAGTTTTGTCTCCTCAATGGAGGAAGTGTTTTTTGAGATTCATACTCAGGCTAAAAATGCAGCCTTACAGAGCGTACCTTCACAGTACACCACAAGTAAAAATAAAAAAGACAAACAGGATCCCACGCTTCAAGATTTGATGTGTTGGAGCCGGAGTAAGGTGCACGTTATGGAGTAGACGCGCAAACCACGAGGTCCCAGTTATTTGTTAAATTACTTTATGGTTCACCTATTGTGGCCCGATTTCAGAGATTCCTTAAGCTCTATTAAGAAAGTCAACATTGTTTTAGTAGTTGTTTTTTCCGTCTTTTTGGCTCCTCCACCATCCTACAAGTAAGAAAGGGACAGAAAAATATCTGAACATGCAGTTCAGGACAAGGTTGACAAATTTAAGTACAATGACAACTTTTACCAAAATCACCCTAACACTATAGGCTGCACTATTTGGTTATGAAACAACATCAGCATCTTGGCCTCTCTGCATGAAACAGACTTTTTGTTAAAATGTTTTTTCAGCAAGTTGAGAAGAACATTGGGTCAAAAGAGCCAGGACC